TCGCCTTGCCCGCGATTAAGGCTCAGTACTTGCCTGCTGCGCTTCGTGGTCGGTTGGGTCTGGCTCGCGACGCGTCGGAGCTCAGGTTCAGGTTCCGCGTCGCGCCGATGGGCTGGAGCTGGGCGGTCCACCTGATACAGCAGGGTCACCTACACGTCATGGAGAGAGCGCTTCAGAGTGGCCGCTGGGTTCTTGACAAGCGGCCCAGCGTTGACCTTCGGCATGGCGAAGCGAAGGTGCTCTACATCGACAACTTCGCCGTCGCCTCCGTCGACCGGGTGCGTGCCGAGGGGGCCGCCCATGTTATGCGTGGGGCGCTGGCAGAGCTCGGGGTCGTCAGCGCCATCGGGGCTTGCGACGGCAGCAAGGCCGAGCTGCTGGGGTGCGAGCTGGGCCGGGCCACTGGCCGATGGCGTATCAAGCCTAAGCGTTTTTGGCGGCTCATGGGTGCTCTCGACTACCTGCGCCTGCTTGAGGCTAAGGGCAGGAAGGTCACAGGGCTCGAGGTTGAGCGCGTCCTGGGGCAGGTCGTGGCCGCGTGCATGCTGAGGCGGGAGTCGCTAGCCACGCTGTCCGCCTGCTACACCTTCGCGGAGACTTCTGGGCTGAAGCGCCAGCCGCTGTGGCCCAGCGCTCGGCGCGAGCTCTTCTGGGTACGCTCGTTGCTGCCTTGCGTCGTCGGCGAGACGGGCAAGGCCTGGTCTTCGACGGTCAACCTTGGGTCTACGGCGTCGTCGATGGGGGCCCGCTGCCGTCGCCAGTCACGGCCGACTCTCTGAGCGAGCTCGCTTCCGTGGGCCACTTGCTGCCGCTGGGGCCCCCCGGGGTCGTGCCCTGGAGGCTGAGGTGGCGCAGGCTCCGGGCGCTGCCCTGATCCTGACCAGCCGGGTGTCGGAGTTCCCCGAGGTCAGCGCGAGGGCCCTGGCGCGCGTGGTGGGGTGCGGGCGCTGGAGGCGGCGTGGGGCGATCCACTGCCTCGAGGCCGCCTCTGTCTGCTGGGCTGCGAGGAGCATAGCTAAGCACGCCCGGCGGCATGGCCAGCGCCACCTCGTGCTGGGAGACAACATGTCGGTCACCCTTGCACTGGCAAGAGGAAGAGCTTCGGGTCATCGTCTGCTGCTTGCCTGCCGAGTGGTCTTCGCGGTCGGCGTTGCGGCCGACGTCCGGCTGCGCTGTCGGTGGCTACCTTCGGAGTGGAACCCCAGCGATCAGGCCTCTCGTCGGTATCAGCCGCCTGGGCTCTCAAGCACGAGCGTGGGCGCGGGCCGCGTGCAGAGAAGGGCGCTGACGGCTCGGTTGCCGATCCCGCCGTCCACCTGGAGTTCAGGCTCAGGCCCAGCCGAAGGGAGAGGCAGACGATCCCGCTCGGCGTGCCGAGTGACCCGAGGCTCGGACAGCACAGCGAAGGTGCCCGCCTTGGGGTGCCTGGGCGCTGGTCGGCGGCCGTCGGCCTCGCAGCGCAGGCTTGAGCCGACCGAGCAGCGCGGCGACGTGGAGGTGCGGCGCCGGGTCGAGCGAGAGCGGCAGCTACTCTGCCCCCGCCTGCCCCGGCTGGCCGCCGAGAAGGTGGGGCTGAAGACCCGGGCGATCTACCTTGGCGTGCTCAGGGCTTTGTTCGCTTGGCTCCGCCTGGGCTGCCTCCCGGACTGGTCGCTGGAGGACTGGGGCTGCGCCCCAGTGGAGTTCGTGGAGTGGCTCTTCGACAAAGGCGGGGCTGCTGCGACCGCGAAGCGAGTCGGGTCCGCTCTGCTCGGGGGAGATCTTTGCTTTGCTCGGGGGTCCTTGCGCACCACCTTCCCGGTTTTGTGGCAGGCGCTGAAGGGTCGGGTCCAGCCGCGGCCCGAGTTCTCACGCCCTCCGCTGCCCTGGTTGGTGGTGGCCGCTGTTGCCCGAGAGCTGCCCGACCTCGACATGGGCATGACAGCGCTCGGGATCATGATAATGTTCGTGACCTACATGCGCCCCTCCGAGCTTCTGGCGCTCCTGGCCGACCGTCGCGCTACCGATCCCGGGCTAGTCGGGGGCCGCCGTCTGACTGACCTTCGATATCTGGGCGCAGGAAGCGCTGGCGCCGCCCAAGACGAACGCGTTCGACATCGGCATGCCGTTGGACTTGGGGAGGCAGTGCTGGTTAGCCCGCTGCGTGGAGGTGGCGGTGCGCCGCCGTGGCCCAAGCAGTTCGCTCCTCGGCCTCGTGTGCGGGGACTTCGCCGCAGCCTTCAAGATGGTCTTGAAAGGAGTTGGTGCCTCGGTGCTGCAGGGCGCCCTTTACTCGCTCCGCCATGGCGGCGCCGACCACGACCGGAGCATGGGCGCCAGGTCCTTGGCCGCCGTGCAGCAGCGCGGCGGGTGGCGCGCGTTCCGAAGCGCCACGCGCTACGAGAAGCACGGCCGCCTGGGGCTCAAGCTGCAGAAACTGGGGCCAGTGCGCCTGGCGCTGCTCCAGCGAAGGTCGGCTGGCATCGAGCTCGCCTTCGAGAGGTACTTCAAGCTGCGCTGAAGGCGACGCGCGGCCGGCAGTCCAGAGTGATTGTCGAGGTCTTCTCGGGCTGTGGTGAGCTCGGCCGACGCCTGCGTGTGAGAGGGGAAGCCGTGATATAATGGGACACTAAGAATGGTGAATATTTTGATCTACTCATCCCTGAGGCGTGGCACGTTCTGCGAGGCTGGATCGTTTCAGGGGTGGTGGAGGCAGTGTGGCTGGGCACGCCGTGCGAAGGATATACCCGTGCGCGCAGAGCGCCGCCGCGCAGCCGAATGCCAAAGGCAATTCGATCTTCGACGTATCCCCTCGGGCTCCCAGGTGTGTGCGGCAGCGACCTTGAGCTGTTGGCCCTTTCTAATCGTCTTGGTGCTAATGCGGGTGAGCTGTAACGCCTGTGCATCCAGCGCAATATTCCTGGTGGGGAGGAAAATCCTTGGCAGAGTTTTCTGTGGCTTCGTCCTCATCGGGTTTCGCTCTGGAGGTCTGGCCTGCTCGAGGAGAGAATTGTAGATTGCTGTGCCTGTGGCCGGCCTTCTAGGGGCCGCGCTCGTTTGCGATTTTGGTGTTGCCTGCCCGACCCTGGTTTAAACAATGTGCTCTGTCGTGGGCCGCGAGGCGTCTGTATGTTCACGGGTGAGCTTCGCGTTGAGCTAACGGGCAAAGCTGGCGGGCAATTCCTCGCTAAGTTGAAGAACGCCTATCCTGCCCTCCTCTGCTCCTTCCTCGCCTCCACTCTTCACCAAAGTAGTTCCCTTAAGAAAATTAACAACAGCCTGGGGACTTTATAAGTAAGCGATTTTCAGTGCAATGCTTGGTGGCGGGATGCCTGGTTTAAAGTTTGGAGTTTTCGAATGATTCGCCGAGGCCTTCAGTGTGTAGCAGTGCCTCGGCAGATGTCCCGTGGAGCCCCAAACAAGTCACTGACTAGAGAAATCGATCATGGAAGTGATGTGCGGGAATGGTGAGCGTTCCGCCTGTTGCCGTTTTTCTCAAACAACTTTCCACCTTCCCGAGGCCAGCCCAAAGCCTCAGAGCAACATTTGTGTCCTGGTTGAGAGCGCGCAGTTTTCGAATGATTCGCCGAGGCCTTCAGTATATAGCAGTGCCTCAGCAGATGTCCTGTGAGGCCCCAAGCAAGTCACTGACTAGAAAAAGCGATCAATGATAATCAGGATGCTGCCTCTGATGGTTTTGCTGCTGATGTATATGCCGACGATGGTGGTGATGCTGATGATAATGGTGCTGATGCTGCTGATGATGAGGATGTTGGTGATGATGATCATGATGACCTTGAGCACACTGACGATGCTGTTTATGATGATGGGGATGATGATGATGATGATGATGATGATGATGATGATTACGCTGTCGGTGATGATGATGCTAATGATGATGTTGATGTTGATACTGATGCTGTTGATGATGGCGATGACGATGATGATACTGCTCATGATGATGAGGATGATGATGCGGATGGTGATGATGATGACGCTGATGATTCCTTACCTAGGCTCTGCCTAGAAGGGTTCTTACTCTCTGGGCTTAAAGGGGCCGGGCGGTGGAAAGCGCCCCGGGCGGTTCCCCCAGTATCCGCCCCGCGGTTCCCCCAGTTACGCCCCCTTAGCTTAGCTTTGCTTATCTCATCTTAACTTAGCTTATTTCATCTTGGCTTAGCTTAGCTTCGGTTTAGCTCAGGTTTATCTTAGCTTAGCTTACCTTCATCTTAGCTTCGCTGAGCTTTAGCATAACAGAACGCAGCATAGCACAGCATATCGTTGCATAGCATAGCGCAGCATCGCATATCATAGCATAGCCCAGCGTAGCATAGCATAGCGCAGCATAGCATAGCATAGCATAGTGCAGCACAGCACAGCACAGCATAGCACAGCGCAGCATAGCATAATATAGCATAGCATAGCAGAGCATAGCATAACGCAGCATAGCATAGGATAGCATAGCATAGCGCAGCATAGCATGGCATAGCATAGCATAGCATAGCACGTAATACTGCTTTCCTAGGGGCTCCAACTTCTAGGTCGGGTCGCACTGGGGTAATGTTTATGATGACGATGCTGATGATGCTGCTGATGACGATGCTGACGATGAGGATGCTGATGCTGATGGTGATGATGCTGATGATGCTGATGACGACGACGATAATGATGATGACGATGATGAGGGTGATGATGCTGCTGATGATGATGCTGACGATGGTGGTGAGGATGCTGATGTTTAAGCTGACGATGGTGATGATGCTGATGATGATGGTGATACTGCTGCTGATGCTGCTGAGGCTGCTGAGGCTGCTGGTGCTGATGCTGATGATGATGATGATGATGATGCTGGTGATGGTGATGATGATGGTGATGCTGATGATGATGATGATGAGGATGATGATGATGATGCTTATGTCCATGATGACGATGCTGATGATTATGATGCTGGTGATTACGATGAAAGTGATGAAGAATATGATGCTGCTGCTGATGATTCTGACGATGATGCTGCTGGTGATGGTTATGGTGATAATGATGAGGAGGAAGATGAGGATGATGATGCTGATGATGCCGCTGATGGTGATGGTGATGATTATGATGATGTTGATGATGATGGTGATGATGCTGATGATGATGATGACGACGTTGACGATTATGATGATTCTGATGATGGTTGTGATGATGCTGATGTGTATGATGACGATGCTGCTGCTGCTGATGATGCTGATGATGATGATTTGGTTGATGATGATGAGGAGGATGAGGTTGGGGAGTATGCTGCTGTTGTTCATGTTGATGCTGATACATATTCTGATGCTGCTGCTGATGATGATGACGATGATGATCATGATGATGCTGCTGCTGATGATGATGATGATGCTGATACTGATGATGCTGAGTCTGATACTGATGATGATGATGATGCTGCTGATGATGATGATGATGCTGACGATGATGATGATGCTGATGATGATGATGATGATGATGATGATTCTGATACTGCTGCTGATGGTGATGATGCTGATACTGATGATGATGATGATGATGATGATGCTGCTGATGATGATGCTGATGATGATGACGATGATGATGATGGTGATGATGATGATGATGATGACGATGCTGATGATGATGATGATGATGCTGATGCTGATGCTGATGGTGATGATGATGATGATGATGATGATGATGATGATGATGATGATGATGCTGCTGATGATGATGATGATGATGATGATGATGATGATGATGATGATGATGATGATGATGAGATGATGATGAGATGATGATGATGATGATGATGATGATGATGATGATGATGATGATGATGATGATGATGATGATGATGATGATGATGATGATGATGATGATGATGATGATGATGATGATGATGATGATGATGATGATGATGATGATGATGATGATGATGATGATGATGATGATGATCATGCTGATGATCATGCTGGTGATTCATCGGTTGCTGAGGATGATGCTGATACTGCTGGTGACGGTGAGGACTGGGGTGGGGATGAAGGGGATGATGATGGAGAGAAGGAGGAGGAGGAGGAGGAGGAGGAGGAGGAGGAGGAGGAGGAGGAGGAGGAGGAGGAGGAGGAGGAGGAAGAAGCGGGAGTGGAGAAGGAGGAGGAGAGGAGGAGGAGGAGGAGGATGAGGAGGAGGAGGAAGAGGAGGAGGAGAGGAGGAGGAGGAGGAGGGAGGAGGATGAGGAGGAGGAAGAGGAGGAGAAGGAGGATGAGGATGATGATGATGAGGAGGAGGAGGAGACGAGGAAAAAGTGGGAGTAGGAAGAGTACGGGGAGGAGGAGGGGGCGAATGAGGGCGGTGGGAGACGAGACTGACCAGCACGTAAAGGAACTGGTCAAGAATTAACGATGGATGACGAACAAGGGTGGGATGGGGGCAGGGGGAAGGGCTTGGCGGGCTGGGTGAGTGAGTCTTGGATGGGTGGGGGGGGGCCGTAGGTTGGAGGGAGGGGGGAACGGAGGGAGGGATGGAGGAGGGAAGGATGGAGGGAGAGGAAGGAGGGGGAACGGAAATATGGAGGATGGGGCAGGGGAGGAGGCGGAGGAGGTGTAGGAGGTGGAGGAGGAGGAGGAGGAGGAGGATGAGGATGAGGATGAGGAAGAGGAAGAGGAGGAGGAGGAGGAGGAGGAGGAGAGGAGGAGGAGGTGGATGATGATGATGATGATGATGATGATGATGATGATGATGATGATGATGATGACGAGGAGGAGGCGGAGGAGGAGGAGGAGCAGGAGCCGGAAACTGATGATGATGACGATGATGATAATGCTGCTGATGATGATGATGACGATGATGATAATGCTGCTGATGATGATGATGCTGATGATGATGATGATGGTGGTGGTGATGATGATGATGATGATGCTGATGCTGATGATGATGACGACGCTGATGATGCTGATGATGATGACGACGATGATGATGATGATGATCATGATGATGATGCTGATGATGATGCTGATGGTGATGATTGTGATGATGCTGCTGATGACGATGCTGATCATGATGATGATGATGCTGATGACGACGATGATGATGATGATGCTGATGATGATGATGCTGATGATGATGCTGATGATGCTGATGATGATGCTGATTATGCTGATTATGATTATGATGATGATGATGATGATGATGATGATGATGATGACGATGATGCTGATGATGATGATTAAGTACTTGATTATGATGAATGATGATGATTTGCTGGATGATATTGACGAATGCTTAATGGTTAATGATGAATGCCTGATGATGGGCATGATGAGATGATGCTGGTGATGATGGATGCTGATGATTGGGTGCTGATGATGATGATGAAGGATGGATGCTGATGATGCTGTTGATCTGATGATGATGAATGAAATGATGACTGAGGATGGTGATGATGATGCCGATGATGAATGATGCTGATTGAAACGTTGCTCTCAATCCGATATGATGATTGATGATGATGCGGATGATGATTGACGA